AGGATAGTAAGAAGTGTGATGAGTACTAGGCTTTTGAAATATTGTTGACGCCATCTTACTTGAAGCTTCTAAGTATTTATATTTATGTTTAATATTGTTGTTACTAGAGAACTAGATATTTCAAGATTTGCCCCCAGCGGCACAGCGGTATGTCTGCAGACTTACAGTGCTAGAAACTGGGTTTGATACTCGTGATGGGCAGAGCACAGATATCCCATTGTCTAGCTTTGTGCTTAACTTCAAACAAACAAAGAATTTCGAGATTTTTCTGTTGCGTGTTATGAGTACGTGCAGATACAGAGAGAAGAAAGTTAAGTTAAGTAAGTTAGTAAAAGAAAAGTTAAGTTAGTGAAAGTGAACTTAGACTGCGGGAATGTCAGTTTAGCCGTAACAGGCGATTTCTAAAGTGAACGTTTCACAGTTTGTATTAATATAACAGAGATAGAGAAGAATAATTCGTTTTGTCAGTTGGGTTCCAAAGTAACTGAACCAGCCTGTGTGGACTTTTGACGTATAAGAGAGTTAAGTAAAACTCTGAATACAACTGTTGTAACCAACAGGAGTAACGTAACTGAATTTATCAGTGATTGTATTGTGATAACAGAGGAGAGAAAATATAACTGAACCAGCCTGTGTGGACTTTTGACGAAAAAGAGAATTTTCTATTAAAGCTCTAGATTCAATTGTGGTAAACAATAATGTAACGAATTTTTGTACATACGTTTAACTTGTTTTAAATATATATATTATTTTAAAACAAGTGGATTGTGTGCTGTCCTTTTATTGTTGAAATTTATCTCCAACAAGTCACAGACACCTACTGTAAAGAATCCGCGGCCTTTATAAAACCTGACACCATTATTTCAATATCAAAAATAATGCACTGACTAAATGACGGTTTATCTTACTTCAAAGTATATGCACAATTTAAATGATATTTATACTTTATAAAACCTACAAAAAACTTTGCGCTTGTTCATAATGAAAAAATTATACATTCTTAAATATCCTGAGCAGAACGCGGCCCATTAATTAGCGTTTGGGACTGTGAAGCTGAGGCTCTATGGTTTGTGTCCTGTTACCGCCAAAAAAAAAATAAAAACACGCTCCAGTTAAACACCACTATTCAGATTGATAAGAGTAGCCCAAGAATTGGTGGAAAGTGATGTTGACTAGCTGTCTTCCCTGCAGTACATAATTTCAAAATTATGGATGTTTAGTACAATAGGCTTCATGTAGCTTTACGCGAAATCCAAAAGCAACAACAACAAAAAATGATAAACCCCTGAAGATGAAAGGTCCACCTTTCGAAAGCGCTCGGGTTATAAGGTTTTTCTCGTTTTATATTAAGACTTCTTGAACCTACGTATTTTTCTGACATCATGAACAAAAAACTCAAATACCCACTAATTCGTCTGGGTGATTTTGTAATATGTAATAAAAAGCTAACAATGGACAAAATTTATCATACTGTGAGTAATGCAACAACGATGTAACAAGGGTTAATACCTTGGATTCAGTAAAAGTGCAAACAAAATAACAATCACAAAGAGGGGGAAGAGGTCAACGCTGAAACTGGCCCTCCCTGGTCCAAAACATGGTCCGAGTCCCGATGAAGAAAAATTTGAATTCTAATTTTTACAAATTAATGGCGATGACAAAATTGATACCAATTACTTTACGGTAGAAACTTTCAGATTTATGGAAGTATTTTTGTATTTGCTTGAAATGTAGAAATACACGTTTCAATAAGTTTATCAATGTGACTGTGAAATATTGTTCCAAATGGCCTCCCCACAAGTCAGACATGTTGTTTGACATTCCTAATTTTCATATAAGACCTTACAACATTAAAAGCATTCCTTTTGGAACCGTGCAGACTAAGTGATGGTTGTAATCGTTCCACTGACTATGAACCTTATATTATTAGTGCTTATTTCTTTTTAACCGTATCCCATGTTAACTGTTTTATCTTACTGCTGATCTTATACTTGGATATGCCCACATTTAATCAACACCTTTAATTGTATTGTATAAATAGATCTGTTTGTTTGTAATTAAGCACAAAGCTACACAATGGGCTATCTGTGCTCTGCCCACCACGGGTATCGAAACCGGGTATTTAGCGTTATACGCCTTCAGACTTACCGCTGAGCCACTGAAGGAGGATGTGTGGGAGGGTGGTAAAAATGCAAGAAAATACCAATCCTTCCGTCTTTACACCAGAGTTAGTGTTAAGATAACCGCTATGCCACTGGGGGGCGTATAAATTGGTTTATTTATCTTAATTTTTATGATTTTTTAAGTAACTTTATCTTTAAAGTATATTTAGTTCATTGTTTTATTATACAAGGGAAGATGTTCATTAACCTTCTAATTCACAAAATTTCCGAATTTTACCAGACTTTACTGGACATGCCCTATTGGTTACCGTGCCGGACTGTGAATCCGATAGTCCATGGTTCGAGTCCTGTTGCCTCAAAATCAAGCCCTGCACATTTGGGTCCTGGTTACCCTTTATTAGAGTGACGATCAACCCCTACTATTGGGCTAGAGTAGCCTATGAGTTGGAAGTGGATACTGTTGATTACCTTACTTCCCTCCAGTCTTATCAGTTCAAATTTAAGATGGCTTGCGCATATAACCCTCATCTTGATCTATTTAGTTGCGCAAATATCAGAAATTCTCCAGAAATTTCTAGAACTTCGTGTGTTGTTTTTTTCTCCCTTTCAGTTGATATGTTACTGACAAGTTCTGGTATTCATTTATTGGCTGTTGACAAATTTGCCTTCTCAGATACTCGAAACGAGTTTGGTAAAAACACTGAAAAGTTGACACTACTTTCTGTTAGTGACGCACATAATGTATAGATTTGGTCTTGGGGAGCCAGTGCAATATTTCTAACGGTGTTAATGAACCAGTAAAGATGTTCAGATTCTTTCCTCTCGATATTGAGGATTCTTGCTGTTTAAACCGTTATTTGAAATGCATTGTTAATTATACGTTACGGTACTGCGAACAATTATAAGTTTTAATGAATCTCTAAATTATATAATTACTGTTTTTAATTACCCGCTGGCACGGTAAAGAGACTATACGCTGAAGAACTAAACATCTTGGTATTTTTCCCCTGGAAATACCTTACTATAAAACACTTTAATCTTAATAAATGTGATGAAATAAATCTGATATAAAAAAGAGCACTTAAGATGTTTTTATCTTTTATACCACATATCTCTTGGCCACTTTTGTTCATTACCAGAGCTCGTCAGTTAGGCTTAGACCGACAACAGCTACATTTAGTGGTTTCCATTTGCCTTGATTTGCGCGACACTCCTGCTGCCACACGCAATATTTTAATTTTTTTGATAGTTTTGTTTGTGTTCTTAATCATTCTTCTTTTGGTGAAACTATCGCGACACATTAGTGTGTCGCGATGCACAGTTTGGAAACCTCTAAGCTAAAAGCTTTATTTACTGTAACTCATTTTTGGTGAAAAAACAACAACAACAACAAAAAACATAGGGAATCCTCAATAGCCGCGGCTCTAATTAGATCTCAAATCGGTTAAGAGATGCAGCTATAAGCTAACAGTTTATACTTGAAAAAACTCAGAGCCATTTTATGAGCCGTTATGCCGCAGCTAAAAAAGCCCTAAGTTGGTGATACTGATAAGCTTATTTAGAAATAAGGATTCTGATTTTCAAACTAACATAATGTAATATCTTAAGTTTGCTCCAGTGGTGATTATAAATAATGTGTTTTCAAAATATTATTTCGTGTGACCGATGCTACAATACCTAGTTCTAGCTAAAGGGAAAAATACACTGAAAGAAATTTACTGGATATATCAAACGCATTTTGACGTTTATTGAAGGAGCAAATTCAATTTGATAAAATCTTTTTGTTCTCCATTCCGTGTAAACAACAAAACGCAACAAAAAAGGCTGATAGAAAACTCGATGAAAATAAAATGTTGCAATTGCTGGTAATACTTTTGAACAAAAATTTATTTAAAAGGTCGTGATAATGGAAATTGCAACCCGTTCTTTTCTCTTTGTGACAACTTAAAATAAATTGAATATTTTTACTGAACTTTTGTAGAAATATCTGATCACCATAATGAACAGCTTTTACAGAAAGAAACTGTTTTGTATATATATATATATCTAAGTCATATTTACATACCTGTAAGCTGATCTTTTACATTGGGGTGAAAAACTGGTGTTCGAGAGTGTGCTGAATTCTATTCCTGCATAAAAAAGAAAGTTACTATCCTTTGAACATTTAGTAACACTGGAAGATCGTGTAAGGAGAACTAGAACCAACTTTTAGGTTTAAATCCACTGTAGTTTTGCTTTAAAACAAACCATTACATGTACTTGCCCCCCTCCAGTGGCACAGCGGTATGTCTGCGGAATTACAACGCTAAAAACCGGGTTTCGATACCCGTGGTGAGAAGAGCACAGATAGCCCATTCTGTAGCTTTGTGCTTAACTTCAAACAAATACATGTACTGACTAGAAGAGAAGCAATTAGTCACCCACCATCGAGTTTAGGTATTGACTGTCACTCACATACTGCACCACAATTTAGAGTGTGGGTAATATTTTGTAGTATCGCATAGATTCGAACCTGACTTGCCAACTCCACGGCTCTACCATGATGGTCAACCTACGCTCCTTTGAGTTGGTTTACTTTATACTAAGATGCACATGACAAAGAAGCGACTGTTCTTCAATATTCTTAAACAGTTTTTAAAAATCTTATAGACGGAGTTCGTCTTTATGACATGTTTTCAATGCCACTTCATTTTTAAGCCAGTGTATAATTCAAAGCAAAATAAATAAGAACGCAATGCGACATTCTTCTAGACGTTTCGGTGTTGTTAAATTGTTTTATGCACCTTAAATTCAAAAATTGTAAACAAAATATTTGTTACAAAACGTTTAAATAACACGATTAAGCTAATATGTATGTTTTTTTTATATTTTTGTCAGTGATTCCAGTGATGCGGAAGAAAAAGGCACGAAAGTTCAGAAGCTGGAAAGCGAACAAACGAAAAAGTGTGTAAAAAGTTACATCATTCAATGTTTCTAACGTTTGTATATTTTCAGGTACTCTGTTGTTCTTTTAATACACGTTGAATAACCTGTGATAAGATATTCTGTACATAAGATAGTTGACCTGTGATCAGTTAAGGGCGTTACAGAAAGAACAGTGGAAGTTTCTGATAACTGCTGTTTAAACATGGAACTAAATTTAGAGTGTATCCTACTAACTATGTAGAAAATTCTGATGCACTAGTTGTGATATGTTAAAACGATTTTGAATATGAAAATCATCAGAGCACATGATAACCATACTCATTCGATGTAATGCCGCGGTGGAACGGTAAGAATCAGAACTACATCTTGGCAGTGCTTGATATTTCGTAGGTAATGTGATGCCATGGAAAATTGACATCTTTTGGAAGCCCTTTCGGGAAGTTAGAATTTCCAAAACATGGATATACCTTGTACTTAATGGCAGTGGAAAACAAAAGAATATGGATCAACTTGGGGTACCAAGACCATTCACGAAAAAAACAGCAACAAGTCACACCACAGCCGTGATAAGCAAGACATGATATCTTGTAAGAATTGGTAATCTCTGAAAACAAAGAGCAGTGGCATAAACTACATAGGTTGAGTACATTATATTAAAACGGTTTTGGTCCATCACAGTCTCGTTACAATTAATGTTGCCCCGTTTGTTCATTGGTCATGCTTTATATGACGACTGCATCTTGACCATATAGCCCTACAGAGCAGTTTCTATAGCAAAAGATTTGACATTAAGGCTGTTGTGTCCAAAGTATACCTCTCCTCCCTGCGTGTTTTTCATAATTGCTTATGGAATGCATCCAGCGACTTCACTTGTCTTTGTAGGGAACAGCATGCGTATCTATTTCATTCTCCACCTGCTTAATGTGTGTGACGGTTGAATGGATATGTTGTGGAAGCAGGTTGTGCACACGTGATTCATGTTGCTTTCCAGACAGAAATCCTTCTTCATTATGTTGTGTTCTATTTGTACGCCTAAGGCATATAAACGGCTGTATTTTGCATAATTTGATAATCCATTTCTATCTTCGTAGCATAATTGAAACATATCATATCAGAGGTTGAATTAAAGGTAATTTGAGAGAAAAAAAATTATTAGATATAATATTTACAGATAATAAGAAGTTACTAGCTGTGAAAAGAATAATATGCTGAGTCACTTGTATTAGACGTCATATAATATATGGAATTATTGTGTCTACTCTTTAACAGTAGGAATATAAAGACACTTTAGAGTTCCTATGTGATCCTTGTGGGCCAGAATATTGTGTATGGATCACGTAGTTTAATAAATTAACTGACAGCTACTACTCTCATTTGCTATTTCTGTGGTTTAGAAAAATCTTTGTATAATAAGTATTTTAAATTAAATTGATTTCAATCTAGTAATAGTTGTTCTTGTTACGTTTATGTATTGCAACTGGATTTTTTTTCCATTTCTAAAAGATTAATTTGTTTCCATTAAAATATAAAAAACTATCTTTTTTTAATTGTTACATATATTCATGAAATCTTACCTGTTCAACGCAAGTATTCACATGAATGTTGTGTACTTCTCAAAACTGCTTATATTAACATTTTGAATCACAGGCACAATCACAGTGAAATTGAAAAACGACGAAGAGACAAGATGAACACGTATATTTCTGAACTTTCCTCAATGGTCCCCATGTGTAATGCCATGTCTCGTAAGTTGGACAAGTTAACAGTTCTTCGAATGGCGGTCCAACACATGAAAACATTACGAGGTAAGTTTTTTTTTAACTCGCTACTTAGTCCACGAGATGGATTTTAAAAAAAGTACTCAACACATGAAACGCGGTTCAACACATGAAAACATTACGAGGTAAGTTTTTTTAACTCGCTACTGAGTCCACGAGATAAATTTTAAAAAAAGTACTCAATCTGACGCGCAATCTGAGGGTCGCGGGTTCGAATCCCCGTCACACCAAACATGCTCGCCCTTTCAGCCGTGGGGGCGTTATAATGTGACGGTCAATCCCACTATTCGTTGGTAAAAGAGTAACCCAAGAGTTGGCTGTGGGTGGTGATGACTAGCTGCCTTTTTTCTAGTCTTACACTGCTAAATTAGGGACGGCTAGCGCAGATAGCCCTCGTGTAGCTTTGCGCGAAATTCAAACAAACAAACAATATAATTCGATGTTAAAACGCATTGCCAGTAGTTTTATTGTGTAGAGATTGCTTTCCTGTTTTTCAAATTTCTGCATAAGGTTATTTAAACAACAGAATAATGCACTGGTGCACAAACATAGAATTTGAAAACTGAATTTATGAAAATAGTGCTACAGTTCCAATAGTCCAGTCCAGGTAACGCTAACGAATTAACTTACATCTTCAATAATGTTTGATACAGACTGCGTTCATTTTAACACAAGTTATAAGCCGAAGCTCACAACGTTTAAGTAGAAACTGTGATACTAATGTATGCCCAACTCACAAATAAGTTCACAGAATTTCCACGCAAATCGATTAAGTAATTGAATAGACGCACCACTAACACTAAACTGAATCATTTAAAGATTAGTCACTAAATCGCTGATTCTCATATTTAAATGTTACCGTTGTTTCTATACGATGCACGAAATCTCTAAATTCTAAAGAGGCCTTAACTTTCTTGAACTTTATAGATATAATACATACATCATCATCATGATTAGCTCCCTCTATCATACAAACATCTAAATTAAAATATTAGAAATATAGCTTACAACACTTGTCCCTTTCCTGGAATGTGTAGTCATTTGACTCATCCTAATATACAAGTAAAAAGTACACTAAACTATCTATTCATCAAGTCATTTGGATTTTCTTTCCTGAGAGTCATTGCATACAGATGGGATGGACTTTGTCCCTCATTGTTATCTGCTGTCTTGTCACTGTGGGAATTATTTCTTGGTAAGTGGTCGAGTGAATGTAATGGTGAATTATCCTTGGTGGTCCTCTGGAAATAGTTACTACAGGAACTATGAGCTCTTCAACAGGCTGACTTTCCACATAAGGCCCTTCCTAACACCTGCTTAACTTTGGAGTTCATCCTTTTTCCAGCAGGGATTGTAGTCTTACAATATCACTTCGATGAAATCTAGTCATATCAGCATTAACATCATAGCGACTTTTAATTTCACCAATAGCTTATTTAAGTCTTTCCTGAGTAACGTTATGTATGAAATCATTGTATTATTTTGTGTCTCTGAGTATTCTGTGTAAGGCTCTGCTTGGTTACTATCCTCTGGATGCAAGGACAGAAGGATCAATGACACTTTAAGTTCTCTCTCAGAGATTAGTAATAATACTCTTATGTCTGTTACTTCGTGTACTGCCATTTGGGAACTTTTAAGTAGCAGTGGAGGATCTTGATTCCAATTTTTCTTATGTTCATCTACATATATAGCTAATTGGTTTACAAATGCATAATTATAGCTTTCCACTATTGTGTTGGAAAATGGATGGAGGGCTGTTGTCCTGGTCTTTTTTATTCCAAGTGTTTGACACATTTCTACAAACATGGCTGAGTCAGTATTCTGTCCTTGATATAAGTGAAGTTCCATATGCATTGACGAGTTTTCTCGCTAGAGTTTCTGCTTACTGGTTAGCATGTGCTTCTGCTAATTGGTGGAATAGTCCATCTCAAACATGATGCACGTATTCTCACTCTTCATTTGTGACAGAGGGCCAAACACATCAACAACACTTCTATCAAGTAGTATTCCAACACAGTACTGCTGTAACTGCCCATGATGTTTCTTTCATGGACATCATAGCTCACATGATTTAAACAAATTCTTTAAAGATCCCAGCATCCAAACCAATAGAAGCACTCTCTTACTATCTCCAGTGTATTCTTAACATCTAAGTGTCCAACTGTTGGAAGTTTGCGAAGATGGTGGAGTGCTTCAGAATGTTGAGACTGTGGAAATACCAATTGTAGTTCTTCTTTATATCCACTGGCATCTTCTCATTTCTAATTCAACAAGCCTGCTTATGGACATAATGAAACCTATTGTGCCAAGTGCATCTTTGTTTTCGAACTGTATGGGGCGACTTTTTACCGTCAGGGTTTTTCTTTAACATTCTTATTCCACTGAATTATTTGCATAATTTTTAACTGAGCATCTTTCAGTTAAATGTTGGACCACGTTAGCTCTTCCTCGTCACTTGTGGATGTTCTTTGGATATTAATCTGCTTTCAGTTGGTCATATTTATATCTCGTGCTTTTCTGTTTCACAATGTTTACATTTTCCATTAACACATGATCTTCAGTAATGTACCAGCACTTTCATGGTTAACTCAGGGTATTTTTGCCAACTCCACTTACCTGTGGTTTGGCTTCAAGACTCATGCTTAGGGTGTTATCTCCTTGATATATTAACAGCTGTTGATTCCTCAGAGTCTCGGCTGTAATGGCCATGCTTCTCACATATAGAATGGTTCTCTTTTACTGACATCCTTTTGGAGAGATTTTCATTCCCTACAGGCTTTTTGTCTGCATTTTCACACAATATGTTTTTTCAAGGGTTGCTTGAAACATCTGTTGTTTTGTGGTTTAATTTCTCCAAATTATGTGACCAGTTGTCTAAAAATGTCAGTTCTTATACACCATCATCATGGTTATTTGATCTGGTGTTTACATAACTTCTAGATTATTTCCAGTTGTTTATCTACAACTAACAGATTCAAGTACCATCACCAACTGGGAAGCTTCCTTTATAGATGTACACAAACTTTGCTTCAACATAATTCGCATATCCTAATATTTTGTGGTATCTATAAATTGGTGATGGGCCAATGAATCCATTATTTCACTTACAGAGTCTGAGTAAGGTAAATGGGCTAGCCTTTCCAAATCTTCTGCGAGTTTGGATAAGGTCTCCTCTTTTCTCAGTACACTACTACTGAACTTTGTTTGGACATTTCCTTTTGGTGTGTTGCTCCAAACCTATTGGACTAGGCAGCTACCCATCTTACTAAAAAGTTGACCCATTATATTTATGTATATGTGGTCTGTTAGCATCTATCACCTAGAATTGTCTGGGTCGATTACTAGTAAGTTTAGGTATAATAACTGGAAACTGTCCAATGGTGTATATTGGCTATCTTGCTTAAGGATATTTGTCTTGGAAGGAGAATAAAAAAACATTTCTACTTTCCATAAAGTTTTGGCTTGCATCAGCCAGAGTTGGTTGGCTTTGTTACCATAATTTTTGTATAGTAACTGGAAACTGTTCAACAGTGTACTTTGTCTATTTTGTTTTAGGACTTTTGCCCAAGAAGGGAAATAAAAACACCTTGAAATAGAGCACATTTCCACTTTTTTTATAGACTTTTAGCTTAGAATTTAAAGACAGATGTACTTTAATCAATTAAATTAAACAATTATTACCTTCCACAAAGCAGGATATGGAATTGGCATCTAATGAGGTCATTTGGAACTTGATAACAAAAGAAAGAAGGAAGAGAAATATTACCTTGCATTATTCTTTATATAATTTTTACTTCCTTAATGAGTACCCTCAGCCAGTACTTAATAATTGTTAAGAGTCTCATCTGGAAGGTTGCTCAATGTCATTAAAACTGGTACTATAAATGGGCAGCAAAATGAATAGTTTCTTGTTCACTATTACACCTGTTCACTCTGAAAATTATTTTGAAATGAGGCTGATTTGCCTTTCGCAGTAGTTTACATCATAATCCACTAATTTCTTGATTGGTCGATGTTGTTGAACTGCAAAGCTAAATTCTGGAGTAGTCCATGAAGTTCCTGCAGTCACAGATGGCACAGCAGTAGTGGTAACACTTGTAGCCCAAATAAGTTCTCCTATTCCGTATTTAAAAGTAAATAGTGTTTTAGTTTGAATTTTCGGCGCAGATACAGGAAAAGGTGTGGCTGGTTTGATCGTGGGATTTACCAGTTCTTTTTTTCCAAATGTTTTATTCTGTCACTGATATATTTTTTACCTCTTTACAGGCCCGTGTGCAGAATGTTTTAAAGGGGGTTTTAATTTGTGAGATCAAAAGCTAACACATTCTGTATGAAGCACAATCAGCATGCTAATGCTAAGGGGGTCTGGGAGAATGCCCTCCCCAAACAAATTTTTAACAAATATATGCTATGAGATTAAATCTGGAAGCAATTTTGCTTGAGATATAACTTAAACAATTACATGGCTGTTCACATAAAATTCACAAACATCCAATGAAAAGCCAAAAAAGTATTATTTTGTTGAAACACTGCATGGGGAACTAGACTTAAATTAGCATAAGTATGTATGTTTTATTGTAGTAAAGTACTGTACTATCTATATGCAGAATATTTATTAACTGTTAAATTATATTATTAATTTAAACAACTCTGTACAACAATAGTATATTAGCTATTTATTTCAATCATTGGGTATCATATACTTACATGTATGCATTACTGAAATTACATGTTAGCATGCTCCATTCGTATGGGATGCTTTTCTATAGATAGCTTATATACAATTTCAATGTTGATAGCAGTGTCATAATGATTATGTATTAAAGCTAGAACACACAGTCTTTCTTCGATTTGTGTACACCTCAGGTAATTATTCAACCGACGGAGAGTAGTTGCCAAATGTTCTCATGAACATGAACTTAGAGGCAGTGTGGCAAAGAGTTTCAGTAACAAAAAGATATTTGGTACACTGAAGCACGCTGTGTCGAAAAAGGTGTCATTATTTAAAGCCCTGCATACAACTGTGA